CTTGGGTCCCTGCCCACGAAAGAGCTGAAAGTCAGTACCACTCTCGTCTCGTCTAACTCCCCCTGAAATATCTGGGAGCCAGGACGCTGAGGCAGTGTGAAAGGACTTGCCCCTGCCTGGCTTCTTCTCCATCTGCCATTCCTCTTCCGTACCCTGCCCTTCCCCACCTGTCTAGGTCCTGGGGGCTCAGGGGACAAAGAATGCAGAGGTTGGATTCTTTGGTGAGAAACACCTCTAGGTCTGGAGTCAGGGCCCTGGATAGAGGGGGGGGTCCTCTTGCCTTCAGGGTCCAGAGCAGCAGCCCACATTAGCTCAAGGCCTCTCAGGCTGTGGTGTGGTGAGAGCCTCAAGGGCACTGGGCAGGCAAGCAGGCAGGAGGGCAGGCCATCCTCCTACGATGCCAATGGAGGGCATGGATCTGTGCTGAGTGAATTCCCTTCACTGAACAGCATCACTCACCTCTGTAACCATGGACCCCAGCTCTGTCTACAACAGCTGTGACCCCCACCAGCTGGGGTTGTACCTCAGGCCGTATAGGAGGTAATTACAGGGAACCTCGAGTAGAGGGGACAGCTAGAAGCACTCAGTACACATAGGCAAAACAGAGGACATTCTACCCTATCCAACATGAGTGGGTATGTTTGTTTAAATTTCCTCCATCTTGGATAACAGCCCAGTCTAGCCAGGAAGCAAGTGACCCCATATCCCAGGGCTCCTAGGAGCTATGGTCCCTGAATCTGTCCTGCCTTTTGTAGCCCAGTTCCTGGCTCTCACAGGCTTGGGTGTCCCTGGTCAGTGGTCCTGCCTGGAGACTACATCCAACCTCAGCTCCTCTGCTCCAAACCAAGTGCTGAGCCAGGGACCCAGTACCAGACTTGGACAAGGGTCTATGTCAACCTTCAATTTCAGGGAAAAACAGCTAGAGAAAATCAAGTTCCTGAGGCGCAGCATGAGGAAACATTGTTAAGAAATACTGGTGAAATATCAGGGCACAATCTTTTGGAAATAGGAGACTGTGGTTCTTTGACCCTTGTCAGGGAACAGGTACCCTCGGGCAGAGAGGGAGGCAGAGGAATCTTACTGGTTCTAGCAGTTTTCACTAGAAAAAGAGAATCAACATGCAGTGTTACAGTTGGCTAAATCAAGACTGAACACAGAAAAAGTCGAACACCAGGGCCATTCTTACCAACTTGGCAATGGTAATGGGGGGGGGGACAACACTCAGTGCTATTAGCAACAGCCAGAGGCAGACGCCACCCAAGCGTCCATCACGGGTGACAGATAAAGGAAATGAATCCCATCTACCCAGTGGAATCTTACCCATCCTTAAAAAGGAAAAGCCTTCTGGTACATGCTACAGCGTGGAAGGGCCTGGAAGACATCGCGCTAAGTGAAACAAGCCAGTCGCAGGAAAGATGCTGCCTCAGTTAGGGTTTCTATTGTTGTGAAGAGACACCATGACCACGGCAACTCTTCTAAAGGAAAACATTTCATTGAGGCTGGCTTACGGTTTCAGAGGTTCAGTCCATTGTCGTCATGGACCTGGTACTGGAGAAGAAGCTGAGAGTTGTACAACTTGATCCTCAGGCAACAGGAAGTGAACTACTGTCTCACTGGGCGTGGCTTGAGCACATATGAGACTTCAGTGACACACCTCCTCCAACAAGGTCACACCTCCTAATAATGCCATTCCTTACAGACAAGGCATTCAAATACATGAGTCCACGGGGGACCAACCATTCAAACCACCACGGATGCCATCAATTTCATTCACAAGGGTCCTGCCGTCACCAGATCACAGAAACGGAAAGCAGAGAGGTGGCTGCAAAGGCTGGGAAAAGCTAAGGTATCAGTTTCAGTGGGGGCAGAGCTTCAGTTTGGGGTAATAGGTCATTCTAGAAATGGTGGTTATGATTGTACAGCAATGTGAAGAACTTCTGCTTCTTGGCTAATTACCTGAAAAATAGTTCAAACAGTAAATTTCATGTTACATGTATTTTACTGTTCATAAAAAAGAATAAACTCACAACAGCAGCAGGGACCAGGTTAAAGTGGGATGGGGGCCTGCTATGAGAATGGGGACCACCCTGCTTTTAATTCACTGGGACTTGGGTTTTCTCTCAGGCTAGCAGGCAGATGCAGCCTCAGATGTGTTTACTGAACCCTCTTGCAGCCTGGTGATGGATGAGTCTTAGATGTGGAATAATTGTCTCCCTAGAGTAGTAGTCCTCAACCTCCCTAACACTGTGGCCCTTTGATACAGTTCCTCATGCCCTGGTGACCCCCAACCATAAAATTATTTTCATTGCTACTTCATTAACTGTAATTTTGCTACTTTTTGGGGGGGGTCTTTTGAGACAGGTTTTCTCTGTGGCTTTGGAGGCATCCTGGAACTCACAAAGATCCACCTCCCTCTGCCTCCGGAGTGCTGGGATTAAAGATGTGCACCACCAATGTTCTGGTAGTATAATTTTGCTACTATTATGAATTATAATGTAAATATTTTTGGAGACAGAGGTTTGGCGAGGGGGTCATGATCCATAGGTGTAAAGAAGTTCTTACTTTGTCTAGATAATAAAAGGCCAGAGTCAGATATAGAGGGAAATGCTGAGAGATCAGAGAGAAGGAGCAAGTCACAGCACACCTTACCTCCTAAGCGTCTCAGCAGAGAAGAGAGAGACTTCCTGTTTCTCCCTGCTTATATCCTGTTCTGCACAGCTACTTCACTTCCTGTCTGTCTGTACAGACCTCCAGACCTCTCTGGTTAGCCAGTAGAAGCTCCACTCTCTGACTCCCAGACAGGCTTTTATTTGTGCAAGAAAGATATCACCACACACGGGTTGAGAATTGCTGCCTCAGACAAAAAGTGACTGACCCCTGTGAGCTCAGTCAGTTCCTTCCTGGTGACACACTGGCTTCCCAAACCCTCCTGGGGAAGAAGCACCCTCTAGGGAAGGCCCCACACCCTGCCAGCCACCAGCTCCAGCAAAGCTATGTCAAAGCACAAGCTTCCCTGAGCCTGGGCACCTGACCTCAAGCTAACTGAGGCTTCCCTCGTCCTGAGAGCCATCTCTGGGTGGAGCCACGAGAGCTTTAGGGGTGCTGTGTTAGGGGGTTAGGCGCGCACACACAGGCACACACACACACACACATTTTGAATTTGAGGGATTTGTACCCTTGGGTTGGCTGGGTTCCCTGTGTCCCAGGCCAGTGTATAAGAGACTCAATACTCTTTGTCTCCTGAAATGTCTTCCTGCTGTCACCAATGATAGTGGGCAGCTGGTTCCTTCTGTCTGGGGCTCCATGGACAGATTTCTCTGTCAAGGACAGCCTCAGGCCAAGATTTTGGAGGCCAAAGAGGCTCTACCTCCCTGTCTTGTGCAAAGTACCCCCTGTATGCCACTGTGAATGGTGGAAATGCTCTGTCCCTCATCCCCGGAATGTCAGGGCAGTTGCACCCTGGGGTTGGAAGCCAGAGGTAGGTCTCTTGGGACCATCCTGGCCTGAATTTGGGGTGGCATTATCCCCCTGCTCTGTTGGTCCCAACCTAACCTGGTAAAGCCCTGCCGAGCCCCTGGGCCACCATGTAACCACACTGCCCCCTAGTGACATAATCTTGCACTTCCCTGCACGGGAAACCATCTCTAACCAGTTCTGGTAGGATTTGTGAGCTCAACAACACTGCTTACTTACAGCAGGGAACAGAATGCATCCTGCCACAGTGGAGTAACACAAACACTGAGATTCAAGGGTTCTTATGAGGACAGCTCCTGTTCAGTGACGCCTAGTATGCGACCCTTCTCTGCACTCTGGATCTGCTTGGGGGACCATTCCTGCCCCATCCCAAAGGAATCCAGAGAGACCGCATGGTGACAGCGGACTCTCAGGTGAGAGAACCAGAGTACACGCTGAACTGGAGCACAGAGGGGGTGGGGAGGAAGAGCGTGAAGGGCCCAGCACAGCCAGGAACAAAGGACACGCTCCCCCGTCCCAGATCCTGGGCTCCCCAGGGCGCAGGAAGAACACACTTGGCAGCAGGCTGTCAGCTGCTGAGCTCATGCCATCTGTGCCCATGCACGGCGGCAGCAGTGGCTGCTGTGAAGTGGGTCATGGAGTCTGGCGCTCAACTGGAAGCCAGTGGCATGAGAGACAAGAGGATGTCACCAACCTGTGCCCGATTGCAACATCCCCCTTCCCCCCAGCCACAGCCACGCACAACAGATGCAGGCCACTCGCAGATCCCCACTGCTCTCCTGACTATCTGGCTCTTTCCTGGTTAGCAGGCTCATGTTGTGACTATTTTTGACTGATTCCTTGTTTTAAGATCATTACAGATTCACAGGCAATTGTACGAGATGGTACAGAAACCCCCACACCCCCAGCATCCAGGTGAAATGCACCGTTTCCCCCATGGGGAATGCCGCTGAGTTTTATGGCGAGAGTACATCACTGGAATCCTAGACCAGTTCCTGATGCTGAAGGGTTTCATGACATTGGGTCTAGTCACCCACGGACAAAGTACACCAGAGGGAGAATGAGAAGGCAGGGTAGCATTTTAACCTCGTCAGGAAGCTGGAGACTGCCTTACCACCGCACTAGGCCTGTGTGATTGGGGGAGGGGTGAGAGGTGCTTGGGGGACAGTTTATCACTGGCTCAGTCCTGGTTCAGCAAGGAGGCACTGAGAACTCTTACTGCCTGAAGTTTGAGCAGATGCCTGTGCCGTGCCCGCTGTGCAGCCTGTGTCTGAGAATGTGCGGAGGGTGTCGGGGATTGACAACACAGAGACCAGTCAACGATGTAAAGAAAACTTTAAGCAGGCCCCAAAAAGGCTCAAGAAAACTTCCCAAGAAAGGCCTCCCTCCAGAAAAGCTTCTGCTCTCTCGCTGGTTCTGCTCTGACACCAGAAACTGACTTGGGTGTGTCAGAAGAGGTGGTTAGTCTTTGGAAAAGGTCGAGGCCAGGGCGGTTCCCATGGGCCAGGAACTTATTGTCCTGGGCATTGTATTGTTTTTAGTAAACATGTTTTTAGTAAACATTGTCTTACAGCTGCCTACTCCCAGGCTGATGGGGAAGTGGGTCTCTGCTCAAGGTCTGGTGTCCCCACATGCCTGCCTGCGAGGTGGCTGTTCAGTTGGGTGATGAAATAGACACAGGCCATGTGACTACTGGCTGGTCCCTGGAACCTAAGGGGACTACAGGCCTGGATGTTGTCCGGATCACACACCCTGGAGTGTTCCAACGACTGATCCTGGTTTCTGTGTTCTCTCTGGTGTTTGGTGGGATGCATTCTTTGGGTGGCTAGCATGCCTGTGTGTAGTGGGCTGAAGTCCGATCCAAAGTCAAGACAGAATCAAAACAGCCAGGCTTCTTCCTGCTGTTAGGTCTCCCGTGGCTGCAGCAAGGGTGGGGGCTTTCCGCAAAGGCAGCTTCTCAGGACCTGCCTGTCATAATCAGAAGCCGTCAGCCTTGAAGTTTACAGAAAGGTGCAGAACTTGAAAAAGAGACTGTCAGGACAGTGCTGCCCACTATCTTGTATCCCCAGCCCCAGCTGGCTACAGGAAGTGGATGCACAGCTGAGAGACCCAGGCCAGCTAACTGGAATTCTTAAAGCCCAGAAGTGATCCTGCCCCCAGCTGGGTGTTGAGTCTTACTATCACTGAGGACCAAAACTATTCTGTCCCACCCTTTCTCTATTGTGAGCTGCCACGTGGGTACTGGGAACAGAATGCAGATTCTGCAAGAACAGCAAGTTGTCTTAACCGCTGAACCATTTTTCCAGATCCCTAAATTAAAAAAACAAAAGTCGTTAGACTACAGATGTTAACTCTGTAACACCAAACATTAACTAAACAACAATAAAAAGTACAATAAAACCTGGCATTGAGGGGCCGGGAAGACGGCTCGGTGGGTACAGGGCTTGCTGCGAGAGCGTGAGGACCTGAGTAGCCACATAAAAGCCTGGTGCAGCAGTGTGTGGATGAGCCCCCAGCCCTGGGAGGATGGAGACAGGTGGATTCTAGAGGCTGTCTGCTAGACAAAGTATCTGACATGGCATGTTCCAGGGTCAGTGAGAGACCCCGTATCAAACAATGAAACAGAAGGGCTGGCACAATGGCTCAAGAGATCCATGTGATAGAAGAGAAAAAACCTAACACGCACACACGTACGCACGCACACAAGCGCACACACAGAAATAAAATACAATTAAAAAAAAAGGTGGACAGACAGGCTGGAGATGGAGAAATGGCTCAGAGGTTAAGAGCACTGGCTGCTCTTGCAGAGGACCTGAGTTCAATTCCCAGCAACCACATGGTGGCTCACAACCATCTGTAATGAGATCTGGTGCCCTCTTCTGGGGTGCAAGCATACATGCAGGCAGAACACTGTATACATGATAAATAAATAAAATCTTTTTTAAAAAAAGGTGGACAGAGATAAAGAAAGATACCCAGTGTCAACATCTGGTGATACATGAGAAGGAGCACATTCGTACATGCATGTACACACATAGAAAAAGATCATAGCATTGAAAATATTTTAATTATTCTAATTGAGTCACAGACCAGAGGAAATCAAACAAAAAGAAACGTCATCCCGCTCCTAGACTGACGGCCATGAGAGCACATCACACGTACTGATGCACCCCACCAGAGAACACTCTAAAGAAAGTTAATCGTTAAATGTTCCTTAGTTCTATTATTCATGTGGAAATCTGTGTGGTTGAAACATACCAGACCTGAACCCTACATCTTGACTCTAGGACATTGTGTCCTGCCTGTGCCCGAAGGCCAGAGTACCATTATCCAGTTGGCTACTTTCCCTACCACCCATGGCCTCTCAGGACCCAGCTTCCTGCTGCTGTCTCCTTCATAACTGGGTTGGCCTGAATCCAGTAGGATAGGGAGGAGCCTGCAATCTGCCCCAACCCCAGGCCTTTCGCCCATGTAGAGCAGGACAGAAAAATCAATTTTATTGAGGTGCAGTTCACAGGCAAGAACCACACACACAGCTGTGTGACTAAAGCGGCTGTGACTAATGAGCTTGCCCTTCACATTCTGCCTGTCGAAAGGTTCCCACTTAACCCGAGAGCCCAGCCCTCCCCAGTATCCTCTGCCAGCCACAGGCTTCCTGCCACAAGAGACCCTTGCCCCTGGACAGCACACACAGGAGGGACTCTTGCCCTGGGCATCCTATCACCAAGACTCAGCATTCTGAGGAGTTGCCCAGTGCCCTGGTCACCTCGGAGACATTGGGATTGTCCTTTATCTCCTGTGGCGTGCCTGGGCTGTGGTTAATCATCAGCAATTTTGAATAAAAATGTAACAACCCTGTGTGTGTGAGCACTGTGGGAACATGTTTTGCTCCTCCTGAGAAGGGACTGTGTGAGGACAGGCAGGGTGTACACATTTGACTCTTTCCAAAACAGATGTACCACTTTCAGTCCCATGATGGCTGCGTGTCCTTGCCAGCACTTAGCGTTGTCTGAATTTAAATATTCGCCTTTTTTGAGGACATGCTGTGGTTCCCCCAGTTATTGGTGATGAGTGATAGTGATGTCAGACATATTTTCACATGCTCAGTACTCATGTGTTGAGATCTTGCATAGTTTATTGATTTTTATTCCATTTGCTTATTGTGTGTGCACATACTAACACATGCATGTGCACACATGCTTGTCACAACACACGTGTGGAGGTCAGCAAACAATTTGCAGTAGTCAGTTTTCTCCTTTCACTATGTAGGTCCCAGGAATGGAACTCAGGTTGTCAGGCTTGGTGACAAGTGTCTTTAACCCAACTGCTGTCAGAGATCTTTCATATTTTAAAAACTGGGCATATCATCCTCTTAGTCTTGAGCTATGAAGGTTTTACATATTCTGAATATATGACCTGTATGGATATTTTCCCCCAGGTGTGGCTTGCTTTGTTGTTCATTTAATGGTATCCTTTGATGTCTGGGCTGATAATTCTTCCTTTTGGAGACTTGGCTTCCTGGATTCTGAATGCCTGCCTAAAGGAAGAACTCTTGCCCTTGGCATCCTGTTCAGGAAGATGAGGTGTCCACTTTTGTCCCAGAACTTAGTGCAACAGTTTGGATACTGAATGTCCCCTGAAGGCCCAAGTGTTTAAGGATTTGTTCCTGCTGTGGCATTGTAGAAAAATGATGGTACTTTTAAAGGATGGGACCTAACGGGAAGTCTTCATGTCACTGAGCACATGACCTTTAAGGGGTCTATGGGATTCAGCCTTTTCCTGGTACCCTTTGCTTCCTGGCTGTAAGAAAGCTGGCTCCTTCCATGATTCTCTGCCTTGCTACAGGCCCAAGGCAATGGGGCCAAGTGACTGTCACCCAAGACAAACCTCTCCTTTTGATAAGTTAATTGTCTCGGGACTTCTATTCATTGGTAAGGTGGCACGTGGCTGCCAAGGGACGCTTGTGATGATAGAAACGGGCCACACGCAAGCTTTCCAGTCTTCAACCACCAGCTGCTGGCAGCAGCACACACACACACACACACACACACACACACACACACACACACACACACACACACACAAAATGGCTAGGGACTGAAGCTCAACGAAGCAACTGTGAATGGTGTTACCTTTTCATCTCGGCAAGCAGCCCGCCAGAAGATGTAAATGCAGATGCGTTGCTTTTCCCCCACAGGGCTGGGGATGGCATCTCCCAGGCTAGGCAAGCTCCTGTCGTGGAGGTCCCATATTCCTGGTGTTCACTCTGTTCCCACAGGGCCTTCAGGTGTTCTTGAACTCCTTGACGTCTCAAGATGAACTTTCCTCAGTGAGATAGTTTCGCTGAGAGCCAGTCCTTTGTAAACACCATTCTTGCCCTGTGGTCTCTACTGCTATTCTTAAAAGACAGTTTCATGTAGCCCTAGGCTGTCCTTGAAATCCCTATGCAGCTGAGGCTGAAAGTGAACTTTTTTGTTTGTTTGTTTGTTTGAGACAGGGTCTCGTTACATAGTCCTGGCTCTCCTGGAACTCACTGCATAGACCAGGCTGGACTCAAACTCACAGAGATCCACCTGCCTCTGCCTCCTGAGTGCTAGGTTAAAAGTGTGTATGCACTACCACGCCCAGCATTTAGTTCAGTTTTGTTTTGTTTTGTGACCATGAACTTTTGATCTATCTGTCTCTGCTTCCTGAGTCCTGGGATTACCAATAGACTTATTGGGATTTTTGCACTGTGAACTGGAGTTTTCAGAAAAGCAAAGAAATCCCATGTGCTTGTGTTGAGGATTTCACAAGACTGATCCACTGATTATAACTTCAATGTTGCGAAGCACTGGGGTGTTGCAGGTCCAGAGCCAATTTATCTGGAGCTATGTTTAGTCTCCCGAATAGCAGACATTGCCCTTGGCTCTGTCTGACCCAACACCCTTTAGATTATTATTAAGTGAAACCTTTAGCTTAGCGTGCACACCACACACACACACCACACACACACACACACACACACACACACACACACGATTTTATTCTGACCATTGTTTCCCCTCACTCTTCTCCTCCAAACCCCTCCCCTCCCCTCTGACCCCATCCACTCCTTCTCCCATAGATACCAACTAAACATGGCATATTAAGTTACCATAAAACTAGACACCCCCCCCCAGTATTAAGGCTGGATGAGGCAACCTAGTATAAGGAAAAGGGTCCCAAAAGCAGGCAAGAGAGTTGGAGACAGCCCCTGTTCCCACTGTGAGGAGTTCCACAAGAAGACCAAGCCACAAAAATGTCACATGTACGTAGAGGGCCTAGGTGAGTCCCATGCAGGCTCCCTGGTTGGTGGTTCACTTTCTGTGAGCCCCTATGGTCCAGGTTAGTTGTTTCTATGTGTTTTTGTGTGATGTCCTTGATCACGCTGGCTCCTACAATCCTTCCCCTCTTCCGCAGGATTCCCCCTTTAGAATATATTAACGGCTTCTGCCGACCCCACAGCTAAGGATGAAGACAGCATTGTAGCCTAGAGCAGAGACTCCCCTGCTTTTCTGTTGCCTACCTCCCTGATGTTTCCAGCAAGGCATTTGGAAAATGCCTCCATTTATGACTTTCTTTTGTTCTCTGAGCACAAAAGTTCATGTGACGGCTTCTATGTTGGAACAAGTTGTTCAAGGCAACCTGAATCTGCATTCCTGAGCCATGGTCCCTCATATTGGCTCAACATAAACCATCCTTTTCTCACAGGGGATGATGGGATGGATAGGGGCACCTTCATATTCTGTATTATGAAGATGCACTTGAACTCCATGTTGTAAAAAGGAGTCCGTTATAAACAGCCCAGTGGGGACACACCGCTAATGGTTTGTTTGCTCCCGTTAACCCCTCCCAGCCCAGGTGGCTCTGCGGAATACAAGACTGACACCAGCAGAAACCAACTCCTCAAAGCCAGGTGTGATGGCCCACGCCTTTAATCCCAGCACATGGGAGACAGAGGCAGGAGGATCTCTGTCAGTACAAGGCCAATGTGGTCTACAAATCGAGCTCCAGGACAGCCAGGGCTGTTACACTGAAAGACTCTGTCTGGAAACAGAACAAAACAAACAAAAAAAGAAGTGCCTGAGCCAGGCACCCGCAGAATGAGGGAAGAGGTCAAGGGATGATAACAGGAGAAACACAAACATCACAAGTTCAAATGTGTGCCTGACCACCAGACCAGAGAAGACTTGCCACGTGAGTTCCCTCTCATTTTCTCTGTGTGTGTGCGTGTGTGTGTGTGTGTGTGTGTGTGTGTGTGTGTGTGTGTGTAGCACAGCAGTCGTTCACCAGGCTGCCTGCTATACCCTACTTCCTCGTTGATGGGGTCTAACTATGTCTTCCCTTCCCACTGAAAACATACAGGCTAGAGAGAAGCTACCTAAGGGGACCTGAGGATTGGGAGTGGGCGGCAGACCCATCCTAAGGAGAGACACCGTCCATGGTGACAGGTTTGAGATGACCTGCCCAGGGAAGGGAAGCAAAGCCTCCTCAGCTGGGCTTGGGAGCCTCTGTTCCACCAGGGCCTCTCAAACCCTGCCTCAAGGCTCTCACTAACCTGGAAGTGACTGCAGGGCTCCCAAGCAGAGGAAACATCTGCCTGTCCCCATGCCCATGTCAGTGCTGATAAAAGGGACCATACGAGGCCCATGCACCTGTGTGTCCCTGCCCACGTGCTGGTTTAAGCCTTGCTTCGGCAGCCACATGTCACTGTTACAGGGGCTGTGAAGGATAGGTAGCAACATCCCTCTGCCTTTCAGGTGTTCAGGATTCATCCTGGCCACTGGGGTGGTACACAACACTTAGCACCATGCCCCAAGTGTTCTATCTACCCTGTGCTACAGATACTTCCCGAAGCCCTCCCTCTCTGCTCTTTCTCTCTCTTTTTCCATACACCCCTCTCCTTGAGGCCCAGGGTTCACTTTGCCAAGGTTGGATGGACACCTTAGCTCCCTTCCCCCTCACTGGATATGCTTCAAATTGACCATTGCCCCCGATCCTATATGGCAGTGGGACTCAACTCCTCCCCATGCTCCTCTTTTCCACTGGCCGAAGGCCATTTGGTTGCCCTTTGGCACTAAGGGCTCCTGTAAAATAAAAAATAAATACTTTCTCACTTCCCTTTCTCAAGAGGGAAGAACCAGGGAAAAGTCACAACCATCTCAAAGCAAAACCAAACTCCAACCGTATAAATAACTCCACGTCCAATGTCTGGGATTCACTCACCATCTTCTGGGCTCCTCCAAAGGGTTACTTCTCTGGCTCTGCTCTCTGCTGTGGAAGCACACCTAGCTTGTTTCTAGGCTCTGGTTGGCTCCACTCATTCCCTGCTGTTCTTGGTGGTCACCCTGTGGTACTGTCATCTCCAAAATGCTGTAGTCTTCTGCTGCAACTCCTCCTGGGCTCCCTTCAGTGACTCCAATCCTGCCACACAATACCAAGCTTCAGCTGCTCTCCATGACCCCTTCACATGTTCAAAACTAACACCACCTGGGTGACTCTTACACTACCAAGTTCAACTGCCAGCATGAGGTACAACCTCCTTGGCCACCCATAGACCATGGCTTCCATGTGCTAGCTCTTAGGAAACACTTCTCAGAGATTTCACCTCAACGTTTCTGGTCTCTTGTTAACCACAGCTGGTTCTTCAGCCCCAGCTGACCATCATCCACAGTCCCAGCAAAGCGGAGGTTTGACTTTAGATTCAACAGCCCCAGATGGCCAGTGCCACAGATTCTTAGCTCAGATGGCCCCATGGAGTCTTTACCTCCCTCTGGAACTTCACAAGTCGGGCCTCCATTATCCCCACTGTTCTCAACATTATCTCCCAAGTTCCTACAGAACATCTCACTGAGCTTCTAACATTCACTGGCCTTTCCAGCCCAGTTCTGAAGTCTTTCCACGGTCCTCCCAAAACCATGGTCAGATCTGTCACAGCAACTCTCTACTATCCTAGTCCCAATTTGTCCTACTTAGGGTTACTATTGCTGTGATGAAACACCATGAAAGGGTTAATTTGGCACACTTCCACATTGCTGTTCATCACTGAAGGAAGTCAGGATGGAAACTCAAACAGGGCAGGAACCTGGAGGCAGGAGCTGATGCAGGGGCCATGGAGGGGTTCTGCTTACTGGCTTGTTCCTCATGGCTTGCTCAGCCTGATTTCTTACAGAACCCAGGACCACCAGCCCAGGGATAGAACTACCCACAATGGACTGGGCCCTCCCCATCAATCATTAATTAAGAAAATTCCCTCCAGTCAAATCTTATGGAGTCATTTTCTCGATTGAGGCCCCCTCCTCCCTGATGAGTGTAGCTTATGTCAAGTTGAAGGAAGGGCATGGTTCAGACTGGGAGAGATATCCTCTTTCACCAGTAAACACCTAGATTTACACTGTGTGTTGGGATACGTTTTGCTGCATGCTGGTCTAGGAAGGTAGGCTCTTGGAGAGTAGTCATTCCAACAGATCTTGATCTGGCCCTGGTGCTGGGGAGACATGAGGTCTGGCTTTTCTGGAGCTGGGCAAAGGCTAGGCCAGCCCCAGGGGCCAGGTCCTTGGTCTGGAACATTATGGACTTTGGGACCATTAACAGTTGAGCATGGTTTCTGGGTTCCCTGGCTGGAGTGGGCATGGCAGGGAAAGCCCATTCTGTTCGTTCTCTTCCTGGATCTGTCCAAGGAGGGCCCGAGTGCTCTCAAGAGAGCTTGGGCTATGGGAGGAAGTGACAGCTGGGCTTCTTTCCCTCATGAGTCCTGCCAGCCAGGGGCTAGGATAGTGCCAAGTGTCCATCTCATTCTTCAAACTCCCCTGCAGAGCAGAAGTGCCACCCTGTCTCACTGGTAGGAGGCTTGGAGCTAAAGGGCTCCCCAGAGGCGCTGCCGAGTTGAGGTGGACTGCTTACTCCTAACCTCAGAGCCCAGACCCCATTAGACAGCCTTACCTCTCACAGACCTGGTGGGAACTGGGCTGGCGGGGCAGGTGTTGGGGGACTGGCTTCAGATGTGGCCAAGGAACACTTGTTCTCTGGGGGCTCACAATGCTGTTATCCGAGACCAAGTCGGGACCCTCTGCAAGGGTTTGATACCATATGGGACTGAGCTGCCGAGCCCACCCACGCTCCTCCAGATGTCTGTGGATCTGCAAACGCCAGGCCTTGCAATGACAACTGTGACTGGAAGCTAGAAACTGCTGAGGCTGTGGCTTGGCTACCGGCACGCCCTGACCCCTCCAGCACATGGCACCATCCTGGGTACCAGACTTCATCCCCACAGCCCAGACTGAAGGCAATTACCATGCTTACACCAGGACCTAAACAAATGATAGATTACTGTATAGCCAAGGAACCAAAATGACTGTCCTGGCCTTGGGGAGTCCTCCCAGTGCCAGCATCTGGTAGCTTAGAGAGCATTCTGGAAGCCTCCTTGTTCTTCCCTAAGTGGTTGTCTCCAAATGATACAGGGGTCATTCTACCCCTAGCCCACCCCAAAGAACAGCTCCTTCAGGAATCCTAACACAGCGAGGGCCAGGCTGAAGGGAGCCCAGTACCCCGGAGTGCATGCTGAGCTTGTCAGGGTGTCTACCCCTCCAAGAAATATGGGTCATGCGGATTGGGTACCACTACCTGGTCCTGTGGACAGGCTGCTTCTCACTGAGTCCCATGAGGACACAGACCTGGCCGGCACACAGATAGTCACAACACCTCCATCCTCCACCTGGTCCATGGGGTAAGTTCTTAATAGTCTCCTCTTTGTCACTTACTCAGGACAGGTGCTGTGAGGCCTTGCCCTTCAGGCTATAAGTAGTGGCCTGAGGGTACAGATTACTGACACAACCAGCTATGGAACTCCTCCAGCTCTCCCTGAAATTCTTCAAGCTATCTGACCATCACTTGCAAATAATTTGAGATGTGTTCCTATCCTAGCTACTCACAAGGATCTCATGTGTTGGATGGACCAAGTCTGGCATGGTAATGGCAACGGTCCTGCAGGTTTCCGAGGCAGGCTTGCACACCAGGAGGTGGGGCAGCCCCGAGAGTGCATGCTTCCATGCTGCCAACACGCAGAAAGGAGGCACTGGGGCTCCCAAACGCCTCATGATGCCACCACAGCTCTCCATAGCTCTGGCCTGAGAAGCACACCAGCTTCCCAGTCAATGCCTTGGGCTCAAGGGTTGAGTTCCCCTTGTCCGTTAATTAGGTAGCCAGTACCTTTGCAAGTACCACTGAGGGCCAAGTCCAGAAAGGGGTGTGGCCGCCATAGGCTGGGAGAGGAGCAGTGCTGGTGTGGAGACTGGGCGTCCATACTCGGGATCCCCAAACCCACAGGTGACCCCTGCATCTCACCTCCCTGCATCCCACCACCTTGGGATCTGTTGAGCCAGAGTTGCTGTCAGTCACTCCGCTTTGGACCCGTGCCGCTCCCCATTTGTTCTACTTTGCGCCTACTAGGCAATGTTCTGTGACCCCTGCCCTGCACAAGCGCTCCACCAAAGCCCATCAGGAGGGAGGCTAGCTTCGGGGAGCCCCGCCCCCTCCTAACTCACCGCGAGCTGCCAGCGGCCTTCCATCTGCTGAGCATCAGCTTGGTATCCCTGTTGGAAATGGGTTCGGGGGTGGGGATGAGGTAGGTGGTCTAAAACACTTAGGTCAGCCTTCTGTTCCTGTTAACAGAGTCTGGTTGATAGAAGGTGGGTGGTGTGTGTGTGTGTGTCCGGCAGATGCTCTGTTCCTGGGACCTTGGGTCTCTTTGCACTGTCAAGCACAATCCATCGGTGCCCTTGGGACCCAAAAACGCTGATACCCAAACGAGGGGCTTGCACAGCTGTTGCAAGCAGTGCAACTTTCTAGCCTGCTGTCCGGGGTTGGCCAATGCTCAGATCCCTGAACTGTTTTAGCAGGTGGGCCCCGGGCACAGGTTTCCAGACGAGCCTGAAAGAGCCCGCGCAGCCTTCTGCAGGCCAGCAGGGCCAGGGGCGGATCCGGGGAGGGGCCTCGGTCCTAGGCCCGGCAGTTATCTCTGTGCTCTGCGCTTAATCAGACCAGGCAGTCTGCTGTGAGCCACGACCCAGTCCAGCCGGGTAAGGGGCTCCTTACAGGGCTCACGGCAGCCAGGCAGGGGCCGAAGGGTGGGATGAAGAGCAGTCGGCGGGGAGGGGGTGCGGGGAGGGCAGGGAAGGACAGTATGGAGAGGGGTGGTGTGGGGAGGGAGCACAGGAGCAAGGAGAGCGCACTCAAGAGACCGGGAGTCTAGAGATGTAGGGTCTGAGCGAACAAGCTGGCAGACGCGCCGCGTGTCGCCCGCGCCTCAGGGAAGCTCATGATCCGGACAGTGACTAACCTCAGTGTGGAGGGCGCATGCACGAGGCTTTTGTGGGATTAGCTGTGGGCGTGGCCAGGTATTTCTCCGCCCCCTAGTTGTTCCGCGGCTGCGCCCTCGACTCACCACGATGGCCACTCCTTTGGGGCGTGGTCAATCTAGGTAGCGTGGTCAATCTAGGTAGCCACGCCCCTCCATGCTGCACTTGGGCCTCCGCACGGGTTTGTGGGTGTTGTAGTGCGCGTGTGCACGAGCCAGACCGCCGCTGCTGGCTGAGCCAGGTAAGGGCCTGTTGGGTGCTTAGCTGGGGACACACATCCGTTCTATGAGTGCCTGGGGAGCAACGGGATAGTGCAAGACGCGGTTCTGGTCCTTCAGGCGTCCTGACGACGAAAGCGGAGCTCTGGCTGGGTTATACATTCCAGGGTACTAGGGGCTCCCTGGAGAAGCTGAGGAGCTCCGGGGAAGGTTTGCGGCGTGCTTAGAACCCGTGTAGTGAGTGAAAGGCGCCTGCGGGGTCCGCTGAGTGGAAGACCGGCAGAGGTCTTTGCGATGCGTAGGAGCATTTGGGTGGGTGCGGGACGCGGGCCGGTATCTGTGGGGTGCCAGAGTCCTTGTGTGAACGCCGGGCACAGGATCTCAGCGTTGCGAGCCTACGTTTTGGCGCAGTGGTCTGAGTGCTCCCTGGGAGCATGATTGCAGAACCCTCGCGAGGGTAGATTCCCCAGGCTGCCTGGTGGGACCTCTGAGCGCCATTTCTCTCCCTGTCATCCCTCTGGAACTGAGGTTTTTTTTTTTTTTTTTTTTTGCCTTCGAAGTACCTTCCTGAGGTTAGAAATCAACCATGTGCGCCTGCCCCAGCCGCCTTAGAGCACGTGTTGCCCGCAAGGAAACCCCACGCTCCACGCCTGGTACGTGGCGCGTCTCCAAGCTCCTTTGTTTAAGCTCAGAGGTTTTAGGCACGAGACAGCTCTAACAACTTCCCCTTGGAACGAGAGGTGTCTGCAACCAGACCTTTGTGTGCTTCTGGCATCTCTGTGACAGGAATGATTTCCAGGACTCAGTTCACATTCCCATCGAAAACTCCCGAAGAGTCTGGCCAACAGCCTAGGCATAAACCATATTCTTGAAACTCCTCACCCCGTGAAGGTGCCCAGCCCCAACCTGCCTGTCTTCAGTGTGCAGGTCAGAACCTATGCAGGCCATTAAGGAAGTCCTTTCGTGGTAGTGAAGATACACTAAATCCTCACAGTTGCTTGCCTGACTTTAAGGAAGTTGTGTCCTTAAGGACCCCCCCACCCCCCAGCAGCCCTCCAACTTAGCAGAGTCTCCCGTGTCCTCCAGGCCTGGGAGCCAGATGTGCCCCCAACAAGGCCCTGCCTTTACACCTGCCCACTTCTTTGAGAGGCCTGTGTTCCTGGATGGGCCAAGGAAAAGGTTGGTTCTGGGCTTCTGAGCCTGCAGCAAAGATACATTCAGTACTCAGCTTCCACAGCGGGAGGCTACAGTGCTCCTTGCCCCCCACCCCACGCCACCGTGAGCATTCCAAGATTAAACCGAACCTTCCTGTCTTAAGGCAAAAGGAAGATGCTGCTTGCTTTTGCTTTGGTTTTCGGGGTGCCGTGGAAAGAATTTTGTGAGCACTTGTGTTCCACGCCTTCCCTGCTCACTCTTCTCTCATGCAGGTGCTAGGTTGGTCAGAAAGGACTGTGAGGTGCCCCTCCCCCCACTCCCCAGCCCTCCTGGGCTGTCAAGGGTTTCTTTCAGGTGCCTGAAAGAGGTTGCAAGTTATGGTGCAACACTGCGTTCATATGGCGTATGGAGTCCAGGCTCAGCTGTGATGCCTACGCGCCATGAGCTTCTACACTCAGTTTCTTCAGCTAAGTGGGTGACAGGATCTCCCGTCTTGTCTCTCAGGATGGGTTTCGGCTGAACTGAGTTGAGCCTAGCTTTGCTAGGAAGAGCAGCTTGGGCCCTGCTGTCGAGAGGGGAGGCATTGCATTATAGCTAGACTCTATGGGGGAGTAATGTTACGTACGGTAGAGGGCCGTCTCTGCATAGGTAACACACTGGGGCTACCTTAGCTTCCCTTCCTGGAGGTGCTGAGAATCCAGGCTGAAGCCACCTTGCCCCAGGCCACAAGAGACCGTGCCAAACACGAGTTTGGGCCTGTGTGTGTTCCCATGAGTGCCGGTGTGGAAGACAGATTTTGAGTAGGCCCCTGAACTCCAGGCCACTATCCTGAATAGCAGCTTCTCTTCTGGCTGGCCTGTGCCTAGCCCAGGAGACACTGGAGCAGTCAGCTCCAGACCTAGAAGTTCTGAGAAGTGGGCTTTTCTATGTTTTCAGCCCCTAGTTCCATCCAGTGCCCTGTAGCCTGTGGGAGGGTGGCAGAGCTGGGCTTGCTTCTCTGGAACTGGGGAAGGCAGTGGCAGCTGGGGGGGGGCACAGGGCCTGGCAGCTCCTAATTCTGCCTGCTAGCATGAGGGTCACTGGGCTGACTTTGTATCGTAGGGCAGATGAGCCACCTTCGTTCAATGCCTGTCGGCAGCTCCTGGCTGAAATCAGGGAAGAGCCAGAGGATATCTTAGGAGCTTAGGGTGGGGACTAGAGATGGAGTCTATGGCTTTACCAGGAGCCCAACCCCTAGTTCCCAGTCACCAGGCAACTAGGCATTTCTTTTGAGTGGGTGTTTATGGTGGAAGGCATGAGCTGGGCAGTGGACTGTAGATTGGGAATTGGTTCCCTAGAGAATAGGAGATGCCCGTGTGTTCCTGTGAGCACACCCTTCCTTGTCAGTTATGTGGTTTGAGAATAGGAGTCCAGAGGCTTGGTGTAGTCACTAAGATTTCAGAGGTTCTCGCTGTGATGTAATCCTGTCCCCTTGAACCGATCTGACTGTGGGCTGGCTGGCTGGCTGGGTGGAGTGTTCAGAACCTCAGAGGACAAACGGAAGTCTGCTTGTGGGACCTTGGCCTCTAGAGCCACATGCCCGTCTGAGCACCGATCCGGGTAGTACCGCTCTGCCAGAAGATAACCCTAGATGTTCATGTCATAAGGGCTCCAGGAGTTCTCTGAGTGACCTTCTTCCAGCTGTGGTGGGACACCTGTTGAAGTTCTGAACCCAGATCTTCAGACAGACCCCTGGGTAGGGCCATGATGAACTCACTGTGCTGTAAAAGTGCAGTCCCCTAGGTGTGAAGGCCTCAGGAGTCTATGAGACTCTGTGTATGGGATAATATGGAGTTTTCTCTTTCCTGGTGTCCCATAACTTCTGCTGTCCCTGGATACCAAATGACACAAGTAAAGGTGCTCCCTTTACCCCTGGGGAAGACACCTTTCGGACGAGGGCCAATTCCTGGGGGATTCCTAAGCCCATACTGGGCACAGAATCCTAGACTTGGCTACATTCTTGGCCACCTCTTAGCCTGGGGGATGCTTTAGTTGGGCAAATGCAGTTGCCTGACCTGGCCAGCCCCAGTGATGTGTGTTGGGGAATGGCTTAGCTCTGCTTGCACCTCCCTCAACCTCTCTGGAGGGGTCAATGCCAAGGGCTGAGCCTCCTGGGTGCCATGACCTCCTTGGCTGTTTGTGGCTCTGAGGAAGTTTTGAAAAAGCAGGGACAAGCAGAGCAGAGGTCAGAGTCTGCCCAGCTGAGCTGCTGCAGCCTGTGTTCCTTTCTTCTCCAGCCAGGCCCCCTGCCTAGCTGCCTGTTTCCATTTAGGTCCTGTCCCAGGCCCTGTAGCTTCCGGGGCCACTCGTTGCCCCAGCATCTTCCCAGACGTTCCTGCCTTCCGGACCTCTGGAATTCTGCCCCATGGTTCACTTCTCCCCCCAGCTCCCAACAAGTAAACCCACGCACCCCTGCTTCTTTGGGGATCCAGGTACTGCCCAGCTTCTGCCTTGTCACAGAAACAGGAGTTGGGCAATCCTTACAGCTGTACAGTGTGACTCTGAAGTCCCAGTGGGACAGCATTCACCGAGGGGCCGGCCTGCAGGTCACTTGGCTTTCCTGAGCCTCTGTGTTTCATGGGAACTCAGAGGACACCCTGGGGCTCAGGGTAGGGTTCACAGGCTGAGAATATGGCTTCCCGTAGTTCTTCTTACATCTAGGGAGTTTTATTTGCCTCCTGCTCAGGGATTGGAGGGGATTTTACCCTAGTCTAGATCTGCAGCCACTTCCTGGAACAGGCTGCAGTGAGGAGCAGAGGGGACATCTGAGAGCCCGTTGTAGAGGGTCAGGCTATCAATAAATATAGTGCCTCCTCCAGCCTTCTTGGCTACTCTGCACCACACACACACACACACACACACACACACACACACACACACACACACACACACACACACACACACACACACCGCCGACCTGTCTTCGCTTCCTATATCCGATGCCCAGCCTCTACTCCAGGAGCAGGCTTTATGACAACTCCCTTTTGACTTATACCAATGCCTCATACAAAAAGCCTGAAGCACGTGAACCCATGACAGAGATGCAGCTTGGGGTCCTGATGAGTAGATGCAGCTCCTGCCTTTCTGGTAGGAAGCTGACAGTGCCCACCTGTACCAGAGCAGCCTGTGTCCAGGACACAGTCAGGGAGAGGAAAACACGCCGAGCAGGTTAGTTCTCATGCATCACAGATACGCAAGAGTGCCTTGGGCTGTATGGTGTGAGGCCAGAGGGTCAGCAAGGGGACTGGCCACCAGTGGCTGGACTTGGCCTGTCGTCATCCGAATGTCAGATGCACCCCCTCCTCAGGCTTTAGTCTCTTTCACTTTGGGAGAGAACGGTGGAGTCCCTCAGGTCAGCCCCTACTCTATCCCGTAACCTTTCACGGAGCTTGCTTTGCCTTGCCCATGGTGGCTGTCAGCTCCTGGGGGACACCTGCCTCCCCCACTGTCCCTCCTTCCAATGACAAGTGAGTGCCCTTTGGAACCGCGTTCCCCTGCTGTGGGGGGGATGTACGTCAGATCTGTGTCCTCGCTGTCACCCCCACTGACCTCCGTGTTGTGTCCTGGTGCACACCTGGTGTCCTAGCCTAGCAGAGCCTCTTCCTCTTGTCGTCTCTACACCTGGGGTACCTCTGGAGCAGTAGCTATCAATACTGGCAGAGGCTAACCCAAGACCTGTGGGTCGTCACGTTGCCAAGCCCTTAGAATGAATCTGCGGTGCTCCCACACCTGAATATTCAGTGTTATTAATTTACTTAATAAGATGATCAGTTTACAGACTTCAATTAATATTTAGGTAGGTCTAGGTGACTGAAGCTTTGGATTTTTTTTTTTTGAAGACTCCTGGAGGCTGTGCCAGCCTGGTCTGAGGGATTACGCTCCTGGTCATTCTCAGGTTGGCAGAGCAGGTTGACAGTTTGGGTGTGGAGCCAGCAGCCACCCAAGGCCAACACTGGGGTCTCAGCTGAAAGATTGGGGAGTAGAGGGTTCCTGTGGGTTCCTTTGCTAACCCCAGACTCTTGGCTTTTCCTTCCAGGTGGAGTGTCATCTTTGGTCACCAGTTCCCATGAGGAGTTGGGCAACATGGTGCCCACTGACCAGGTGGCAGAAAAGCAGGCATGCGAGGAGCCCAGGCAGGGCCATGAACTCAAGTCCTGGAGATGCCTAGTATTCTATCTCTGCTTCTTCGGCTTCATGGCTCAGTTGCGGCCTGGGGAGAGCTTCATCACACCCCACCTCCTGAACAACTTCACAATCGAGCAGGCATGTTGTTGTCAGAGGGCAGGGGAGCTGTGGTGTGGGCTGGGAGTTCTTGCCTGGCTTGACACATGGACAGCTGAGGCTGTGGGGGTTATAGGGGCCAGAGACACTGGGTTTGTTGTGAGTTTGGCCCTACCCTGCCCTGCCACCTCCTGCTATAGTGAGCATACAGAGAGGCTTGACTTGGATTGGTTAGGTTAGTCCAGCCAGAGAGCGTGTCACTGGGCTCCGTAGAGAGGAAACCTGAGCCTGCTTTGGGACTGAGGAAGGATGCAAATGAGGGCATGCTGACGCCTACTGCCAGGTGGCCCGTCCACCATCCTGGTGAGAGAGCCCATGCCCCGTCATGCCGTCATGCCCCACCTTGCTTGGCGCCTGCCCCCAGCAGAGACTTCACTGTTTATGTAAAGAGATTACTGAAGGCATTTTCTTCTTATTGAACCCTGGGGACAGAGGGTCCTATTGAAACTCTGCTAATGAGCTTAAATCCAGGCAGACGTGGAGGCGGTTTATTTTTGAACTTGCACTTCACGCTGTGTGAGATAGGGCTAGATGAAGGAGGAGGAGGGGAAGCCTCTGAGGTGTGGCTCCCCAGCTGCCTGAGGTAGTTTGAAGCTGGCCTGGGGGTGCCAGCGGTCCTTCTCAGCTTGACGCCTCCCCTGCATACTGACCCGGCGTCTGTTCTGGGTCCTTGGTCAGTGAAGTGGGGCTGGCCATGGTGGCTGCTGGTCTTTTGGGGCAATGGGTTCTTGAGGTGGCGTTCGAGTAAGGCTAGTGGTTGCTAAAGGTTGGACTGGGTTAGCATGAGCATGGATGTCAGTGGCACCTGGATCCCAGCCTCTGGGAGCCCAGGAGTGCCCATCCAGCTCCCCCATTAGCTGGATCTAAAGTGAGGTCTAAGGGGGGCCCTGCTGAAATTCATCCTGGCCTAGGAAGAGGTTCCAAGCATGTCCACCTCCCAGGGAGAGGTCAGGTAGACATCTGGGCTTCACTGGGATGGAAGCTCTCCCTGCAGAGTGTCCAGAGAGCCTAAGGCATCTGGCTTGGCCTGCCAATGCCACCAGTGGGCCCTGGCACCTCCCCAGGCAGCCATGTGGAGTCTGAGGCAATGCCTTGCAGCAGGTGGCTCCCCCATTATGTTCCCCAGCAGGAGGCAAGTGAGGGTGGCCTCCAGGAGCCGGCCTCAATGAAGGCCATGAAGGTTGGATTCTGCAGGCGGCATGCCCAGTTCTGCCTTGTAGGGTGGGGTAGAGGGGTGACCTTGTCCTCCCCCTGGCCTTACCCCCCTAATGTGTCCTGTCTAGTTTTCAGTGGTGCCTCCCCACTCCCAGACCCCTTACCATTCTCTTGCTTTCCCTTTCCCTCCCGTAAAGGATTGAAGTAATCTGTATTGGTGTCTACTGGCCATGGTGCTGTTTTCTGCTTAGGTTTTAAGAAGAGTGCAAATCAGAAAGCCTAGGTTAAAGGGATCCACATGCATTGAATGGTGGCTTCCTCCACAGTTTGCTAGATCTCTGTGGGTTGTACCTGGAGTCTGCAGTTTCTTGGGCTGCCAGACTGTCTTGGTTCCTGGACTCCCTCCAATCCTGAACACCCAGGTGTGGTCATGGAAGGTGCATTTGCGGCCATGAGGGAGATGGGCAAGGTAGATTTGGCTGGCTCGCTCTGCAGTACTCAGCGGAGCAGCCAGCGTCGCTAATGACCAGTGCTCCCTGCCTATCCACAGGTGACCAACGAGATCATTCCGGTGCTGCCCTACTCCCACCTGGCGGTGCTGGTGCCAATCTTCCTGCTCACGGACTACCTGCGCTACAAGCCGATCCTGGTCCTGCAGTGCCTGAGCTTCGTGTGCGTTTGGCTGCTGCTGCTGCTGGGCAACTCTGTGCTGCACATGCAGCTCATGGAAGTCTTCTATAGCATCACCATGGCCGCGCGCATCGCCTACTCCTCCTACATCTTCTCTCTGGTCCGCCCCTCCCGCTACCAGCGCATGGCCAGCTACTCAAGGGCAGCGGTGCTCCTGGGGGTCTTCACCAGCTCTGTGTTGGGCCAGGTGCTGTGGGAAAAAGTCTCCATCGTCACGCTCAACTACATCTCCCTGGGCTTTGTCATCTTCAGCCTGGGCCTCTCCCTCTTCCTAAAGCGCCCTAAGCACAGCCTCTTCTTCAACCGCAGTGCACTTGTGGACAGAGCCTTGCCCTGCGAGCTGGACCAGATGCACCCGGGCCCTGGCCGGCCAGAGCCTGGGAAACTAGAGCGAGTGCTGAACACTTGCAGGAACTCCTTCCTGGTGTGCATGCTAAGCGAACTGGTGGAAAATTTACGACAACCACAGCTGCGCCTCTGGTGCCTCTGGTGGGTCTTCAACTCTGCAGGCTACTACCTGATTGTCTACTATGCACACGTCTTGTGGGGAACTGGCAGAAAACTCAACTACAATGGTGCTGTAGACGCTGCCTCCACACTGCTGAGTATGCACTGGAGGCCCCTTGCCCTTCCCAGCTGGGTTGCAGCAGGCCCGTAGTCCAGCCCTATCCCCTTGCCCTGGGCTTAGACCACCAACATAGGCTGTCCTATCCTTTGCTCTATCCTGCCTTTGTTCCAGAGCCACCCTAACTAAGCCCGAATCCCTGCCCATCTCTCCCAAGCTCAGCCATGACTGATGTCTCCTACCTCCAGGCGCCATCACGTCCTTCTCTGCGGGCTTTGTGAAAATCCGCTGGGCTCGGTGGTCAAAGCTGGTCATCGCAGGTGTTATAGCCATCCAGGCTGGGCTGGTTTTCTGTATGTACTTGGTCCAGGACATCTGGGTACTCTACGTGACTTACGTGCTTTTCCGTGGGACCTACCAGTTCCTCGTGCCCATTGCCACGTGAGTAGGATGGTACAGGGAGAGGCTTCTGGAAGGTTCTGTTGGGGAGCACAAGGTAATGTGGACAGTTAGGTGGGAGGTCTGATCTGTCTAGACACTCTTTGCTGTGTCCGCTGCACGGGTCTCCCTGGGCCCCACAACTCCCATAAGGACGGAGGATCTCCTACCTCCCCCAGTTCCCTCCCATCTCTGCCAGAACTTCCTGAGCCTCTCTATAGTGTTGCCAGCCCAGAGACCACCTAAATTTGACTAGCGCCCCACAATCCTCTCTCCAGTTGTCCCTTATCCTCACCTTGGGGACCCTCCTTAAACTTTTTTTTACCGGCATCCCTCCCACCGCTTTTGGCCTGCCCCTTTCCTGGGCTTGTCCCACGTGCCCTCCCAGCCCCTCTGAACACTTTGAGAGTTTCCTGGTACTGACTGCAAGTGATCTCTCCAGATTGCATTGGCATGCGTGCTTGTCCAGGCTGGACCTCAGGGAGCACACACTGCTGTGTTTGAGGACACACTCAGCTCATACCTCGTAGGCATCAGACATCCTTACAGAGCTGTGTGTGGTGGCACACACCTCTAACCCCAGAACTCAGGGGGCAGAGGCAGGCGAGTCTCTTTGAGTTCCACACCAGCCAGATACATGGTGATACCTTGTCTAAAAGAAACACTAAATATGCTCACGTCACCAAACAGACAACACACATACACCATCCACTACATGTGTACTGACACTGTACAATCTATGTTTGCAGTATCCATGTACATGTACCGCATGCTACACACACACACACCAGATACACACAGATCTCATACACCGCATGTACTTAGCACCTGCACTGTGTGTCGCATATGAACATGTGCTCACCCCACACACAGCATTTGCCTTCTTTTGCCTCCCCCCTGCCTCTTCTGGGAAGACTTTGGCTCCTACCCCCAGGGCTGCGTCGCTGCCTCTTTCCCTACTTGGACAGCCTTCCCACATTCTCTGGCCACACAGCCACTGGCTCACTTCTCTGGGCATACTCCTGCCTCCCGAACAGAGAGCACCTTCCGGTTCCCCGTTCTCCCTCCGGGAGTCAGTCTCTCTATAAACATGTCCTGAGCCCCACTCCTGCCCTGGGGTCAGCTACTGTTGGTTGGTGGGTGTATGTAGGGAGGGGAGGGGCTGGGACCTGGGGCCAGTGCTGTGCACAGGTGGTCTGGGTTGGGGCTGGGAGAGGGGACTTTGTGGCTGTGGATGGAGAGCTTAGCTGTGAGTCTGGTAGTGGGCCAGTTTGTATGAATCCGTTGGTGTCCCTAAGTGGATGCAGGGGTCTCCCTGGCTCTGTGTTCTTTGTTCATGTGTTTGTTTATTTAGATAGGATCTCACTATGTAGACCAGACTGGCCTGAAATCACAAAGTTACCTGCTTCTGCCTCCTGTGCCAGAATGAATGACAATGAATGGCATTTGTCACCATGTCCAGTCTGACTCTGTTCTTGCCCCTGTCCTATTCAGTGAGTTTGATCACAGTATGGCTTTTTTTTTGTTTGTTTGTTTTGCTTTTCAAGACAGGGTTTCTCTGTGTAGTTCTGGCTGTCCTGGAACTCGTTCCATAGACCAGGCTGGCCTCGAACTCAGAGATCCACCGGCCTCTGCCTCTCAAGTGCTGGGATTAAAGACGTGCGCCACCACCGCCTGGCCACAGTATGTTTTTTTACCTCCCAGTTTTCAGATTGCGTCTTCCCTGTCTAAAGAGCTCTGTGCCTTGGTCTTCGGGATCAATACATTCCTTGCCACTGCACTCAAGACTGTCATCACGCTTGTGGTCTCAGACAAACGGGGTCTGGGCCTCAAAGTTGAAAACCAGGTAAGCCCCAACTTCTGTCTCATGTCTTTGGGGTAGGGAATCCCATGATGTGGTCATGGCAGATCCTCCTGGCATCCACTTTCTGTGGTCCCTTCTCAGGGAACGCAGATCCATTGTGACTAGAGTGCACAGAATGCGGCCCACACTGGAGCGGAAGTGAGACTGTTGGGACGGGCTGGCATTTCCGGGGGCACTTGCTGTGGCAAGGTTAGCCACTTTGATCTACCCATGTGTCCCTACCCTGCTCCTGTCCAGGTTGAACCTCTCGGACTTGGAGCCCCCAAGTGGCTGGGCCTCCAAGGTTGGCTGAATTGTTTGGTCATTGCTGAGGAGTCCTTATCAGACCTCGTATGTCCTTACCTGGGCCTGTGTCACAACTCCTTGCTTTTCATCTCACATGTCACAAGACCTGATGGCTTTAAGCCCAGGCTGGATGATAGCTGAGGTGTTCATATCCAGGAGGGAGCTAGGGCAGAGCGCCTTGGTTGGAGTTGACATCAGATGGCATTGGCCTACTGGCCCCTCTTGGGATGCGTTCAGTTTCCCCACCACAGCCAGCATTTTTCTTGTGTCTGAGAAAGCTGACTATCCTGTGATGGGGACATTATGATGGAGGAACCGCCCAGCTACCAAGCCAAGGGGGCTTGGGAGTCAGCACATGAGGAGGAATGGTCACCAAGCTACTTAGTGACTGCCCCAGGCTGTGTGTGGCAGTTGGTCTTCCTGGAGCCAGGTTTCCCTGGGCTGGAGGCCTGCAAGGTTGGTGTGTGTCATGGAGAAGTCCCCGCCCACCGAGGATTCCTAGTTGGCACAGCCTTGTCGCCGAGGCTCAGTGTTGAGTCTGGCTGGCCACCGAAGACATACAGATGAAGCAGATGTTCCCACATGCAGGAACAGACTGTCCCACTCGGAAGCTGGCTGGTAGGGTCTGAATAGGCCTCTGAAGTGGGGATGCCAGGGTCCTGCCACTTAAGGCTCTGACCGCCTCCAGCCCAGCGAAATCCCTCAGTGCATATCCCCTTGGGCTGGCCGCAGAACAGGCAAGTCTTGCCTGGCCCACGGAGTGGCAGATCCAGGCTGAGAAGGGTCCATAATTCCTCACTACTACCCAGCTGCTCTTGAGTTGACTCACAGAGCAGAGCGAGGTCAGCGGTGGGTTGGGCTAGGGAACAGTTCGCTGGCTTGGAAGGGCATCAGCTGCCCCTGGGGAAGACTGTCTTAGTCCTTAGAAGAGTATAGTGGCCCCTAAAGTGGACAGAGCTGTCCAGAGAAACCCCAGGGGGACCCTCATGTGGCCCAGCTATACTACACTTAATGTTATTTCTCTTTCAGTCACTGACCTCTAAGGCCACTGTGTTCCCTCTGGCTCCTTCCTTCCCCCTCCATAGCCTGCCTTTCATCCGGCCTTTGGGAACCAAATGGGTAGGGCCTGAGGGACTCCTTAGAGACTGGTGCTCCCTTGTGCTCCCCTTCTTGTTGCCTATGTCATTGTCCTTCCCCCCCAACCCCTCCCCCCCATTCCAGCTGCCTTGCAAAGGCCCCCTTGCAAATGAGCCTCAAAAGAATGAGGTAGGGGGACTCAGTAGGAAGGGGCCCTTGGTCAGTACCACTCACTGGCATAGACTATATATATATATATATATATATCAAGGGGTCCCATGAGGGATGAGGGATGAGGGGCATTCTGGCTTTAGTTCCCGCTTCATCCAGTCAAATTGTGGGGTGGGCACTGACTTTTCTGTGGCTAGTTTTCTTTCAAGCATTGCATTTCGTTCATAGTCAAGAGAGGCACAAGCTCCTGCCCTGCCCTCTCCTGCCTCACCCTGAGTTCAGAGAAGGGCCAGGGCAGGAGTCCAGGCGGTGGGAGCAGAGCCAGAGACCACTGAGAGCCAGGGTGGAACTTGGGACTGTGGCTGGGAGCCAGCCTGGCTGTTTGCTCGGTTTTTAAGTTGGGCTTTATTCCACCCCCTCTAAGAACCCATGCAGGGATTCAGGTGCCTTGTGCTCGGTTCTCCTGGTTCAGCATCATAATCAGGGTGTTGACATTCAGCCAGAATCCAGAACATTTCATCCTCCTGGGGAACCCTTCTGGTCGGTTCATCAGCCCATGCCGTGGACATAGGTGTTCTCCCGGGCGGTGGCTCCAGTCTCCTGCGTGTGTGCCCTTGGGCAGATGGCTGCTGTAACCACTGCAGGCTGTCAGTGTGCCTGGGATAGCTGCTGACCTCAGAAGTCCTATGGGCTGTGTTCAGTCCTTGGGTATTGCAAGTTCTTTCCTAGGTTTGGTGTGAATGTATAGGTTTATTTCTCTGGAATGGGGGCCCAGAAGTGGAACTGTGGGTTCCCAGTGGGGGCCATTCCCATCCCACCAGCAGGGCGTGAAAGCCATTTCCCCAAGTCTTCATCGGCACTTGATGCTACCTTCTCCTATCAGCCGTTCTCATGGGCTGTTTTAATTTGAGTTTTCTCTTGGATTCACTGGTGGAGCCAGAGTCTTAGTTTGTGCCATCTGTCTCTCTAGAAGCCAATAGCGGCTTGATGTTCGGTGACTGCATGTGTATTACATTACCAGTTACACGTAGTGTGGAGACTATGTCACCGTGACCTCTACTGTTGGCAGGCCACCTGCCCTGATGACTTGCACATGTACCTTCAGAATCACACAAGACAGCGTTAATCGGTTTCACTTTCGCCATCAACTGTACCTCAGAAAACACAAGCCAGACCTGAGGTGGATGCTAGCACTCAGAGAGCAGAAGCAGGAAGGTCATGAGTTCAAGGCCACCTGAGCTACATAGTGAGCTTGTCTTAAAAAGCAGAAGCAAGAACAAACAGGAATCGCAGCTGGGAAGGGTTTAGCTTGCTGTGGCGTCGCCTGTTTGAGCCCTTCTCTCGTCATTTCCTCTTGGTTCCACCTCCTTGGCCTGCATGTCCCCATTTCTCTTTCTCCCCTTATTTCTTCTGAGACTGACTCCCCCCCCCCCTTGTTTTGTTTGTATTGCTTGAGTATTGTTGCTGGCTTTGCTGGTGGTTGCTCTAGAGTTTTTCTCAGATGTCTTCAGTACCTGCTGACCAGCTTTAGTGTCTCCGGAGGCCTCTGTGTGAGAGCTGTAGCTCTGCTGTGGTGAGCTATAGCCAAGGTCAAAGGCCTCTTGGTGTTGTATGTTGGAGCTAAGTGATCAAAAACCTTATCTGCACAGCCCTGGCAGAGTAGGTTGGCGCCCTTTGGGTAGAGTAGTTCTGACTCCCATGGTGGCCCCCTCACTGCCCAAGGGCATAACGTCAATTCCATGCGGTTCCCTTCTAACTGCCAGGTGTGTGTGTGTCCGTGTCCGGTCATTGTGTGTGGTGTGGTGTGTCCAGTCATTGTGTGTGTGTGCATGTGTGTGTGGTGTGTCTAGTCATTGTGTGTGTGTGTGTACATGTGTGTGTGGTGTGTCCAGTCACTGTGTGTGTGTGTGTGTGTGGTGGGTCCAGTCACCCTGATGCTTGCTGCTGACTTTATGGGACAAAGGTAAGAAGGGAGTCATTACCACCCAGTGGGATTCAAGTTTCTTCCCAGGAGCCCTGCCAGCTCCGCCCGTAGGCTGTCCTTTGAGTCTGGCTTGCCTGAGGTAGGGTCAGACGCTTTCAGGGAGACAGCTGGGCTGCATATCCTTGTCCTGGTACCTGCCCTCTAGCTGGGTTCTGTCTGTGCTGGTCCTGTGGGTAGAGTGGACAGCTGAGCTGGACTTGAGTAGAGTGAGCAGCCCTCTGGACTTGTGAGCAGAGTGAGCGGCCGTGCTGGACTTGTGAGTTGTGGGTAGAGTGGACAGCTGAGCTGGACTTGTGGGTAGAGTGGACAGCTGAGCTGGACTTGTGAGTAGAGTGGACAGCTGAGCTGGACTTGTGAGTAGAGTGGACAGCTGAGCTGGACTTGTGAGTAGAGTGAGCGGACTTGTGGCTGCTTCAGTTCCGAGACCCATGAAGCAAAAAGAAATACCCAGCACCTGCCACACCATTAGTGGATCCTGAGGTCTGGCTGGCACCTCTCTCCACCTACCCCCAGTGAGTGTGCCCACAGCATCCAGGGGTTTGGCTGACACAGGCGAAGAATGGGGAAAGGATGTCAGCCCTGTCTTCCTGGGAACGGAAGTCCCTGACGAGCCACTTCTGAGTGTACTTTAATGAGATCATTTCTGAAAGGATCCCCAGAGGCTTCAGGCAACTCGCCTGCCTGCACTGGAATCACTCCAAAGTCCTCGGACCCTCGTGTACATTTGACAGTAGTCAGGTCCTCGCTGGGAGGAACATATCTGGTCCTTTGGAAGGGGCATGACCTGGCTACTCTTGGTCACTGCTGTGCAGTGCAGGTCAAGGTTATGCCCAGTCTTGACTAAGGCTGGGACCTACAAGAAGCCCTGGATCATTGTGGAGGCCTCTTGGTGACTACAGAAGTCAGTTCCATGAATTAGGGCCTGGGGACCAGTCCACACAGATGCAGACACATGCTGGGTTCTCTGGGGGATCTTTGGGGAAGCGACAGGCTTTTGTGGTTGACAGAAGGCAAGCAAGAGACCAATCACCCTGGTATTTGCCCCTGGGCCAGGCCTGTGACTCCTCCGGCCACCTGGAGGTTGAATGATGGGGAACCTCAGTAGAATTCCCTGAGTGGGGCAAGGGCAGGGTACAAAACCTTAGGTCACCAGATTCTCTCTTTCAGTTCTGCATCTACTCCGTGTACTTCATGGTTCTTTCGGGCATCTACTTTGTCAGAGCTGTGCTGGATGGTGTGAGACACTGCCGGCGTGGCCGCCACCAGCCCCTGCCCCTGCCCCAGGAGCTGAGTCCCTTGGAGACTTCTGCGCAAGTGCTGAGTGTGCAGGATGGCGGCCTAGGGGGACTACAGCCCTCAGCGCCGCAGCTGCTCTCGGAGGATGGCGTGGAGGACAGCGAGGCAAGCTTGAGAGCTGACGCCAAGGCCTGACGCATGGTGACCTTGCTGGCTTCATCCCAGTTCAGCGGGTGGATCCCCTCCCACGAGGTCTCCATCCCAAACCAGCCTGGGCCGGATGCTGCGGATAAGACTGTACTGTCTTGAGTCCCAGGGCCCAAGACGTGGGGGCCCCTGTGTTACCTTTCAGGAGACCTCAGAGTGTTCACAGGATTCACCTTAGGAGCCACCTGCTTTTAACTGAGGGACGATAGTTTGTCCCTGCTGATAGTTTCTGAGAACTCTAGACTGAGCCTGCTTCATGCTGTGGCTGTGGCCAAAGCCTGCTGGGAACTCTCAGGACAGCTGCCTGGCTTTGTGGCCCACATGCCAGGCCACTGTGAGCCCGGATTGCCTGTGGCTTGCCAAAAAGAGCCTGTGTTGGGGTCAGCTGTGCCCACCAGGCCAACCCGCTCTTAGGCCCTGAAAGCTCAGGACAAATCATGACTATCTCCAGAGCTGGTGAGGTAGACCAGACATCAGCCAAGGCACGCTGGCCCTGCAGGGTGCTGATCCTTCTGTGTGGGGGAGTTGCCTCTCCTGCCTTCTGGCTACGCTGCCACACTTCCATCATTGGAGGTGCTTGTTTGGATGGCTATCTGATCTTTTCTTTAAAAAAAAAAAACTAAAACAAAACTGACATTAGAATGAACAACTACATACGGCTTTTCTGTTGTGAGAAGCTGGAGTCAGGTGGGCACCAGGCACATTTCTGTCTGATGGAGTAGTTACAGGCCCTTTTCGCCGGCAGACTTCGGCCCAGAGTCCCCCTTGGTTCTCCCCACCATCCCTAACCAGTTAGTACTGACCTGACACACATTCAGGCAGCACAGATGTACCAGCCGTGATCGAAACCGGGGCCCTTCTAGAGGGAAATGCCTTCGGGGACTTGCACTGGAGAACCATGTTTCCCGGCTCAGCTCCTGAGAGCTACCAGAGCTGGCTGTGAAGTGAAGACTAGCTGTGGTGTGAGCACTTTTTCCGATACTGTATAAACAGACCCCGGTATGAGGGGGTTTCTCATTCCATGCTGGCCTGACCTGGTACATAAGGACTGTAGTTGATTAGCTTCAGCCAAAGCAAAGATGCACAGCAGAGACTAGGCCCTTGGTGTCCTTGAGTTGACCTCCAGCTCCAGTGCAAGATATGACACCTCTAGGTCATGCAAGTAGTGTCCTCCTGGCTGGCAAAATTGGGTAACCAGCTCCGCCGAGGACAAACGTGTTAGTCGCAGGGAAGCTACTGAGCCAACTGTGCCTCAGGGCCTACCTGAAGGTTCACTTGGGAAAAGCCATCTTGGGGACCCGGGGCTGAAGAAGAGGCTGCAAGCAGGGCTGGCCTGACACCCAGCTGGTGATGGTTAGCGAGGACACTGGCCGGCTGCATCCGTGTGTCTACACAGCACCCGGAAGCCTTACTGGGGAGGGACTTGGGGATCTTGCAGGACGTGACTGATGGACACAAGGCTTATCCTTTGCCACAGGCAGAGATTGTGGCTGCCTCTGCAATGCCAGCCCGCCCTGCAGCCATTCCTTGAGTAGCACCCAGTGCAATAACCCAGTACCTGCTGGCATTCTCCCTCAGAGCCTCTCCCAGCAAGAGCCCTCCCACAGCACCTGCCCGCCCTGGCCTGCGGCTCTGTAACCCTCACCTGGCAGCCTGTCCTGGCTGAGGACAGTCACCTCTTTTATCCTGGACCCTTCTGTCAGCCGCCAGCTGTCCTTCACTTGGCTGGAGGCCTTGGACATGGTCTTCTGTGTCAGCCTCAGCCAGGACATAATAGTGAATACAAGTGGCGGTAGGCCTGGGGCCCAGGGAACAGATCCCCTGCAAAAGTTTTGAGATGTATTTTATCCGCAGGAGTGTTAGCTTGAATGTATCATGTGTGTATCACATGTGTGCCTGGTGCCTGCGGAGGGTGTCAGACTGCCTGCAACTAGAGTTATGGATGGTTGGATACAAGTTGCTCTGTGGGTGCTGGGAACTGAACGCGGGTCCCCTGCAAGACCAGCAAGTACTCTTAATTGCTGAGCCATCTCACTAGCCTCCTCTACATGATTTTGAAGTCACCTTGTGTGTTCTGCTGGATACCAGGTAGAGGGTACTGACAACATCTGTACACATCCATACAATACATGTATGTGTATGCCTGCATACCTTGTATGTAAACACACCTGAATATGCCTTTGTATACCTCTGCACACAGACATGTCTGTGTAACTAGCAACAGCACGCATACCTCTGTGTACCATACATGCACACATTTGTGCAAGCCACATACAGTTATATGTAATTGTGCATAGCCTCTGTACACCCATCCAAACCTGTGCATACCTGACCGTGTACACCAGTTCATTCGTACATACACATGCACATCTGTGTTCACCTCTTCACATGTGTGTACAGACCTGTATCCATGGACAAATGACTACCCACGCTCACCTGTACTCCCTTTGCAGAACTCCAGCTGGGAAGTCCAGGGACAGAATCTCCCAGGTCTCATCTTGGACGGTGTGTCCTTTTCAGCACAGGGAAGGCAACTTATAAAACCAAGCATCTGTATAAAAGGTCACTTTTATTTGGTGCCTCTTTGAAATGGCTTTCATATCACACAAGAGTCACAGAACTAGCCCCGCTGGATTTGTCCGGATCCTTGGGCAGCGGAGCCTGGGGTAGGCACAGTGGCTATGATGGGCCACCCGTGGCCCTGCGCACACACGTCCCTCCATAGGACAAGTGCCTTGTGCGGCCGCTGTAGGATTCGTGGACTTCAGGTTGGTGAGCAAGCAAGGACAGGATGCTGTCAGAACCAGACTCTTGGGCTTGCTTGGGTTTGGTTTCTGCTCTGGATGGGATCTCATGGGTCACCAGGGAGGCCAGTCTGAGAGACAAGCCTGAGGGTGAGCCCCATGTCACGTCTGGCCCCCAGCAAAAGGAGCACATGGACTAAGTCTGACCACACTCCTGTTCTCTAGTGACAGGGAACAGGGTTCAGATCTGGGGTCACAGCGAGTACCGGGCTTGGAAACCTGCTCCGGGCAGGGAGTGCTGTTGCTGGAAAGTGGGGGAGGCAGAGATGGCTTCCACTCACCAGCATGGGTGGTAACTGGCCGCCTGGTGAGCAGGTGCCTGCCTGTACTGCTGGCAGTCACTGGGTGGTGAAAGAAGAGTCCCAACTGCCCTGTGCTGTCCCGGGGTCCGTCCCCAGCACTCATATGTGACTGCCTTGTGAAGGATCTGTACACAGATGCCAAGCTAGAGAAAGTCTGCAGGTCTTGGGCAACAACCCTAGGGCAGCCTCCTACTGAGACCCCGCTATGGCCTGACTTCACCATAGAGCTCCATCAAGCCTGGTGGAGGACTATGACAGACTGGCCAGTTCAAGTGGGAGAGGAAGGGCAGGAAGTCATTTTAAATGTTTAAAAAAATATATTCTTTGGCTTCCTTTTATTTCTCGAGGATTACATAAAATGTGAACTCTACAGGATTGAATCCCAGCCAGGCCCCGGGCACTGGCCACATGCTCCCTGCACTGTGTCCGGCCTTTGTGCTACCTCTGTCCACCATCCTAGCTGGCAGAGGCCCTACTTGGAGAAAGAGGTCATGAAACTATTCTCGATGCACAGGACGATGTAGGTGTTATGGCAGCTTGCTGCTTTCTGTTCCAGCAGCCTGCCTGACAGCAGGGAGGAGGCCTGACCCGTAGCCCCGGTAGCCTCCGTCCGCCATGTCTCACAGTAGCTCTCCATCAATCTGCGCCCGCTGGGGTCTGAGCCATGCCATATGCTCTTCTGAGGCCTGCAAGGCACACAGACTGTCAGCAACCTGCAGGCCTGTCCTTCCAGGTCTGCCCGCTGGGGCAGAGGACATGGGAGACCGGCCGCTATATTGGGGGACAGTGAAAGGCCCCTGTGACTTAGGTCCGTTCCCCAGATGTGTATGTTCTCTTGAAGAGGAGGGTGTTGGGGTGCAGCCGGGGCCAGGGGACCTCTGGGCTAGCCTTTCACCACTGACAAGACCCGGCTTCGGGAAGCCTTGCTTGATAAATGCTAGGAGTGAGCTCTACTGCAGGACTTAGCCACTTAGCTCATGTCCGGGCCAGGAGGGCCCTCATGAGTGCCTCTTGGGGGATGCAGATAGTCAAGGCTCAACTACTACCCAGGGACTTTAGTCTAGCTCCCCAAGCCACCTTTCAAAGAGCAGGGACATTGGAACAGGTGTCTGAGCTGCAGAGACAATGGGAATGACACCATTCTAAGGATAGCCCAGCTGTTTATCCACATTTCGGGTGCTTTCTGTGACCAAGGGCTATGCTAGGGCGCTATCTTGCAAAATCCATACTTTCCCGTGGCATTGACATGGCTGAGCACTAGAGTTAAGTAGTCACCGGTGATGAACGAATCTGCCATGGCTTTGAGGGTGTTGACAGGCTTGTGTTTGAACACACCATGACTGTCTATTCTCATGTTCTTCTAAGGTTCTGTGGTCTTCTGTATAGAGTATGTCAGTCTAGAGACTGAGGTCCTGCCTCATCTAATGCTGGGAGACCTACCAGACTGGGTGTCTCAGGACATCTCTGCCATCGAAAGAAAAGATGCGTGCCCCAGGCTGCAGTTGACCCTGGGAGCCGGAAAACAGAGCATCCCAGCTGGGAGATAGCACCTCATCCTATAGGGAGACACAGCAGGGACTTCAGTCACCACCACATCAGGCCAGAGCAGGGAGCATCAGGGAGCGGGGACTTCAGTCACCACCACATCAGGCCAGAGCAGGGAGCATCAGGGAGATCACATGAAACCAAGGGACACATTGAGGCACAGGAACCCCTTCTCAAGAGTACACCCCATCACAGCAGGTGAGACCCACGGATGCCCTCCCAAGCCTGATACACTGGGGTCTGTTAAGTCCACATCATTGGTTCTGGGAAACACCAAGAGTCCCAGCTCTTTTGATCACAAAGACCCAGTAATAAAGCCACATGGCAGGTCCTGTGGCTAGGTGGCACATAGAAATGACTCCAGGCCACTTTGACTATGTGGTCAGCAGCATAGGAACCACTAGAAACATCCATGGGACAAGAACCAGGGCCCTGGGGGGTGCCGGGGTAAGAGGGGCTTTGTGGGGTACACCGGGGGAAATCGTGATACCCTGCCGCGCATTCACACCCAAGGTCAGGGCATGGGTACACCTGGGGACATGCTTTTGACCCCTCAGGACAGGCTCCACCTACCTTCAGGTTGACGATGGGCACAGTCCCACGGTCAGCACGGCGCACAATACTGTAGAGGTCCTGCAGCCTAGACGACAAGAAGGCACGGAAGGTGCCGGCCAGCCCCACGGCTCGGGCCTGCTGAAAGCACTGGAAGTCGGCCCCACGGATGCCACGCATGCCACCCGACAGCGGGCTGTTCAGTGCCACCAGGTGGAGCTGCAGGAAAGGTCACGCAGGATTGCATCATAAGCAGTGTCACATGTAAGCTAGCCTGTAAGCTGCACGGTGCACACAGGCAGAGCCCGCTGAGGGCTGGACGAATAATACAGCAGTAACGTCAGTGACAACCTTCAAGCAGCCCTGTCCGGCCCCTTTCAGCTCAGGATATCAGAGGCCATCTGAGGCACTGTGGTCCCAGCAGCTCCCTAAGAGAGCACCTAATACCCTTCCTGTGAGCAGACTCGGGGCCAGTTCAGCCTGCCGGATCTGGAGCAGCTGCCCTTCCCTGGCTGTTCCAGCCTCCTCTAGGGCAGAGGCACAGCACAAGCTTTCTCCTCTACCATATTAAGGGCTAGCAAGGATTGGCTCCCAAGTGCTTGATCTCACTGACAACCACTAAGCCACCAGAGAGAAGCAAGTGCCTGGCCTAAGTGATGAATGGCCCCATAGCACCCACAGATCTCTGGCAGCTCTAGGGGGATTCCTCCATCCCGCCAGGACTGGGGCTGGATGAACACATGCCCCTCAGCCCCAGACACTCACCACTGGCTGGAAATCATGGTGAGTGTGAGCAGGCGAGCCCGTGGGGTGAGCTGGCGGCTGGTGCACAGAGGAGCTGTGGTGGTGTGGGACTCCGGGGTAAGGCTGTGGCTCTGGCAGCCGTGGTGGGTTGGCCAGGATGTCATCTGCCCGCCAGGGCCGAGCCGTGGAGTAGGAGTGCTCCCGCCGGGTATATGGGCTGCCCTCGTGGAGCTGCACCAGTGGGGGCTGCAGAGCCGCGACCTCATTGCCCTGAGAATGGAAGAGCACAGTGCCTGGGGCAGCCCCTCCCTTCCTGTCTATTCTGTGCTCTTGGGGAGGCCAGGGCTGGGCCCAAGGCGGAGAGAAGGGAGCTGTACCCTGGCACCCTGGCCCCTGGGTGCAAGCATGAGCTAGCCCAAGATACTTGAATGGGTGGCACCGCCCTCTGACCAGTCCTCACTCATCACAGCCTCCTTAGGTTTCCTCCTTAGGTTTCCTGGCTGCGGCCCAGGCTAAGACCCCACATCAGATTCGCCCAGAGGCTAGCTCTAGAAGAGGAGTTGCCCCTCCCCCCATTCCACACCCAAGTGTGTGTGTCTCAGAGTATCCTCCCAGGCCCCCATCTGGAGATGCCCCTCTAACTGCGGCGTGGAGGGAGGAGAACAGCAAATCAGCCCAAGAGTAAAACAGTGCCCTTGAGAACAGCGAAGTGAACCATTTCCACCCAAGTAACCATTGTTTGTCCGGGCATAAAAGTGCCTGCTGGTCAGCTGTGAGAAGCTCAGCCGTAAACTTAACCGAGGGGAAAAAGTTCAGTGGGGAACTCCAACTGATGCCTGGACTTCCCCAGTCAGCTTCTCCTGGATATTGTAAGTGTCCAGTCTAGTGACGTCATTTCCTCACGGGGACTCCAGCTGGCTGCCTTAAAGCACTCCCCCCACACCCTAATCATCAGTTCTACTAAGTGTCTTAAGTACCCAACTTGACAATGCTTTATTTATCTACCTGTTAATCATTCTTACACTTCAGTCTGCCGTGTACTTAATAAATCCTCTCATCCCAAACCAAAAACAGACCATTGTTTGCACTGCACAGAACCGTCACCAACCTCCGGCCACACACACCAAGTCCCCAGACTTCAAGGAACGACGAGGCCCTCCTGAGCTCCGTCCCCACGCTAACTTTTAGCAGGTGTACAGAGGGAAAGTATCCCTTACCGTCCCATGTGGGAGCGCTGTCCGGGCCTCCAGCTGAAAAGCAACCAACAGCAGGGGTTACCGTAGCACGCTTCAGGGTCAGGGCCCCTCAGCTGCCACCCTCTTCCCCAGCCCCTCCCCCTAGGAAAGAGGGAGGGGACTGTACCTCACTCTCTGGCACTCAGTCAACAGTGGGCACTGGTTAGACCTACTGCTAACACCAAAGAATCTCCCAGGCCAGCCAGGCCCACAGACCCAGAGCCCAAAAGCTGGTACCCAGCAGCCATCACGCATCTTGGGGCATCCTACCAGTACCAAGGATGCTCATCACAGTGGTATTTATTATTATTGTGTGTGTGCGCGTGTATGCTATATACGTGACCGTGCCATAGTGGGCGTGTCGGTCGGAGGACCACTTTGCAGAACTGA